CATTTAAAATTTATATCATGCAATCAAGGAAGTCAGTTCCTCATTGATCTTCATTAAACTCTCTATAAAAGGTAAAATTATACAGCAGATGTTATATAGAAGCTCGGACGCTATAAAGCTGATAACTGCGTACCGTATCACATAAATATCACAGTTCACACAGTTGGATCTTTCATTTCCATCATCACCACGTCTAGTGGGATGGTACTCAAACAGATGGTACTCAAATAACCAATATGCTGTACATAAGATTAAAATATGCTGAAGGAACAAGGATACAATAGTAGAAACTTACAAGTATAGAAATAGAAGCTGACAGCATTCATATTTATGAAGAGGAAAGGGGCACAGTTCCAAAATGCTTAACAATAAATTCGAAAAATGTTATAAAAAATTCTACAATAACACAGAAAACACTTTTTTGTATACGATGTGACTTCCGCTACGCGAACAATTTCATAATAAAGCCAAGCCAGACTTCACTGTATTTAAAAAAAACAATTGTATCTTACCTTATCCGTTTTGTCCTCAATACTCGATAACCTCTCGACATCATACGACTACTAAGATCTATTAAATATGTATGAATCAGCGCACGTTTATTAAAAACGCACGCGTATCGTTATCTCCGTAGAAAGTGGCACAATCAATAGCCGTGAATGAAATCAAAACCTGTCTTACGAGACAGATGCCGTTTTCCCTTTTAGCTAACTAAATAACTATGAAAGTGTGGCGTGTGAAACAGATCGGAGGTTTCATATATACTATTAATATAACAAATATACTTTTAATACCAATAGGAACGGCAAAACAAGTGTTACGTAATGTCTAATATAATAGATTTACGGATTTGCCTTAATTCATAAATATTTTTTAACAAACGGTATGAATCATTGGTGTTAATTAAGAAATCCTTAAGTGTTAAGAGTATCTGACTCTGTGTCAGAATATCTGTCAGGGTATCTGTTAGAGAACATAGTTCATCTGATGTGTGATAACAGAGGACCGCCAATGACAGTCATGACATCAAAGATGTTGCAGTTGTGATAAGTACCAAGTTGCTTTTTGACCCTACAGTTGCCAAATTACGCCCTACAGTTACGAAAAAGTCTAATTAAACAAATCCATTTCATACTGATCTTCTGCTTTGATACTTCCCCTATCGAACTATCATTAATCGTTGAGAAGAAACATTTATGTACTCTGATGTTGCCCTATCACTTTTATTATTATCACTCTGTCTTTTCTTTTATAATTGTATGCTTTAAAATGTTAGTTATATTTAATTACCACTTACTATAATATTTATTTATTAATCATATTACTGTAATGTTAGTAGGTTGCAGATTAGCAGGTTATTTATCTGGTAATAAGTCTTAAAATAGCAATGGAGATCCACAATACACTTGAGACCAAGCTTCACAAAAGTAATCTATTTTACGCCGCTCTTCATTAATATAAATTAATTTACTCCTGCCTAAACTGACAGACAGTAATTCTTTGTTAGTCTATAGAAAGGTATTATACAAAATGTCTGAAGTATAAGTGATTCCCATAGAAAGGTTTACAAATGTTTAGTGTAGTGGTCAAAAGGTACATTGATAAAATCACAACTATATTCTATTGTATTAGGATGTGCTGCGTTTCAAATATTTTTGCACTTTCGCGGAACGTAAATAAATTATCAATTCTAGACAAACATAAGACCAAGATAAATAACGATGGTAGGTCCACGCTAACTGTGATAGGGCCACGCAACAGTTTTCACTGTTGCAAGAATGGGCAAGTCCGTCCAGGTAAGTACCACGACCCCGCAGAAGACCGGCGTAAAATAGAAGTGTCACACTTCTGCGTTTCGTCTAGTGAATGAGGCAGCCAGGGCCCACTTTATTAAAAGGCAGCAACGCTTCTGATAGAATCGATCTTTTACTTTAATTGTGGAACTGTTATTTATTTATCCTTTGACCGGGAATGTATGACGTATAATAAAGAAGTTGTTGATAGTTCCCTTTGAACACGCGGGCGTAGGCGCGGGTAACAGCTATTACTTTTATGTTTCACAACACCTAGTTTGTATTCAAATTTCGAAAACTATGCTATACAATTTGAAAGTACATCAATAATTCAATAATATTCTGTGGTTGGTACATCACCATGGGAAGTTTATTTAAAAATAGCACATACGAAATAGTTAAATCGGGTCTAATGAGGTCTATTCAAAATATCGAGAACGGAGCATGCCAAAGTTTGGACATGTAAACCAAACATGTACCAGTGACATATCAGTTCCAATACTGGTGATTTGAATTAACCCGGAATAAAAGTACTGGGCTTTATGATAGGAGTTTGATTCCTTTTTTTTTCTTCATTTTCTCAGGTAGTCATGCTCTGTCTACCTCAGAACTGGCTGTAGACGTCTTGCAATTTGAAGAAGTTGGGATCAAGTTCCATCAGAGTACGTAATGTGCTATTTACGTGTCTCCAACGGTATTTTTTTAACATGTGGGAAACATCGCAAGATAATGTTTCAATATATAATTCCGTGAACGGAGACATTATACACAGCATTCGGACCGCTGATCAAGATGCCAACATCGATTTTCTGGAAGTATCTAACGAAGCGTTAACAAAGGTTGAGGTCATTTGCATTCTCATTTCGAATATGTGCCGTCGCCTTCATATTGCATTGTAATTTAAACGCACCAGACCTAGACAATGGCAGACGACTGGTCTTAAAATCGCGTAGTGTTCTTAAGGTTACCATTTTCAAACTGGTTGTAGCTGACACGCCACATGGTCATCTCGACCCTGGATCATTTTCAAATGAATTACTGCTTTGATTGAAGACGTTTTGGCACTTGTTAACCTGAATTTACTGATACACTTGGCTTGAGGTAGCCGGATGCTGAGGGCGAACTCAATTACTATTGACTCTAGAGCTCCCGAGGGAGCCTTGGCTCTGGCCGTCACGCTCTTATTATAAGTACCGGTTATGGAGGCTGCCAAGCTCTTAGGGCCCTTTGGCGGGCGGTCTATGGAGAAAGGGCTTCCGAGAGGGGACCTCGGCTTGGGCTGTACACGTTTAGCATTAGCTGTAGTCTGACTAGAATGATTTCTAAAGCTATCGTTACTACCATTGGGGCTACCGTTGGGGCTGGAAGAAGAAGTGATGGAATAAACTCTAGCATCGCTTCTATCATTAATGGGGGAAAACCTGCCACGTACTTGGCGGAACCTAGTATTTGTTTGACGTAATTACTTAATTATTATTAATTCCTATTTATAGCTTTAACGAGTGTTGTGACACTAGCAGCTCGTTCTAGTAAGCTAGTGCAGGTAAGAAACTTTACTTACTTTTACTTTACTAAAATTATGTTAAATTTTAAAAGTAAAGAGTTAAATTTGAATATACCAGTACTGTTCATTTTTATCAGATGCTTGTGCTGTGTTAAACACTCCATCTGTACTTCAAGCTATAATTTAATCAATATCTGTATTTGAAGAGAGACATAAAATGTGGTTCCGTGTTAAAGTGACATAAATGTAATGAAAATGTCTTGTATATTCTCATGTTGCGCCTTTATCGCTCAAGCATGGTGAATTTTACAACGCAATAGTTATAACGTTGAACAGTATTACCAATAAAACAATCAACTCAACACTCACTAAACCTTATATGTAACCGGTTCTGAGCATCATGCATTACAAATTACTTCAGCTGTATTTATTATAAGCAACAAATATAACTTTTTACTAACTTTTACTTTTAGTTTTTTTTTATTAGTACTGCAGCTTGGCTTCGACGGTGTGTATACTGGATTTGAATCCCGCAACGGACAAATATTTGAGCTACTGACACACATTTAAGAATGTTTGTGTGCGTATGGACGCAAAATAACATATGCATGTTATATATATGTAAATCATGCCTACAACTTCAGACAATCTTATCCTGCAGTAAAGTAACGTTTAGTAAAAGAAAAGTTAAAACAACATTACTGAAATATTGCTAAAACAAGTATTGTCTATGACTTAAGTCATCCTCGGTACAAAACACTGTAGCGGCTTACGGTCAACGGTACACGACTGCTTATCTAAGCAAATTGCATCGATAAACAAGATTGGAAGCGTTTGGCCACGAATAGGTCGAGCGGACCGTTACAATACCGGCCCAAGCGAAGCACTTCGTAATTGGATGATTTTATGGCAACGTGCTGGACGTTGCGAGTAACTAGTAGTTTTTCATGTGAGAAGGTGGCACGCGAGCTGACAGTTCACCGAATGTTAAGGGATAACCACCGCCCATAGACCTGCAACAACCGTGAGATTGCAAATGCGCTGTCATCTTTTAAGTGGGCCCTGATTACCTCACTCAGCATACGGAACGCAGAGGTGTGATACTTCGACTTCACCGGTCTTCTGTGAAGCCGTGGTACTTCCTCGGACGAACCTGCCCATTGGCTCAACAGAAAAGACCTTACCACAGTAAATTACGTAGTGTTGAACTTAGCTTAAAACACAGTCATAACTAACCAAAATTTTAAACCAGATGAGCTGACAATAAATCCGATAGGTAAATTCTGTAATATACGAGCACTTCTCGGCAAGCGCTGCGATGGCATGTAAGTGAACAAAGTATGTGTGTGCTTATATACGCACGTAAGATCACATCTTCCAGTTTATAGTACCAGTATCACCTATATTATAACAACCGTTAGGTAGTCATTATTGAAAAGCCTAAAGTAACAAAATAATAAAACAAATTAACAAAACAAAACTATATCTATAAGCTTTTGTATAAGTATTTGGGTTTATCAAAGTATATAAGAAAGTTTTTGGGTGTAACATGCTTACAAATTAAATAATCTGTGAAAATAAATAAATAAAATACGCAGTGTACCAATAGAATACCTCTTAAGGCGTACAAACCTTGAGGTTTAGGCATTCTATTCCGTAATCAGGTTCAACTACGAGCTTATCGAAAATCTTAGATCACTCACCGATAGCTCAGCGGCGCTCTCAGGTTAACGGATGAGCTTCTGGCGATCGGACGCCGCCCCCTCTCGCCGTCGCGCCAGCTTGCGTAACTCCTCGTATACGAGAGAAGGCCGCACACATCACTGGCGTTAATGAATTCCACAGTCATGTCAACAGTATCGTTCGCACCGTAACCATAAGCGTCTGTCACATATTTGGTGTCATTGAAATCGGTAAGGTTCCCGCTCGGCTTGAGTTCCGTGACATTTTCAAATATGGAACGATTCGTCAGCTCGTAAACACCATTCTGCCTCGGACTAGAGTACACATAGACGCGGTCCAGCTCGGAGTCGTTCTCCGTCCTCACGGCATAGTTCTCTGGCGCCCTGGTGGCGTTGAGGTCGCGATAGTCCTCCATGGAGGTGTACCAGGCTTCCAGTACAGCGATGTGCGAGTCCAGCTCTCGGCAGGTGAGCCGGATCTCATCCTCGTGGCATCGCTGCTCCTCCACAATTTCTGCAACGAAAAAATATTTTGAGTCATAAATGTCAATCGTGAACATTTTTCTATTTAAATTTAAGGAAATTAATCGAGTGGAACGTTCAACGGCTTCGAAATTCAAAATTTTGAGAGTAAAAGCCGTTGAACACTTCGTACTTATAAAATAATTTCACCGAGCGTCTATTTAATTCAATAGTACAGCATTCCCGCACGCAGCCCATTATCCTTCTTGCATAGAATATTATATCGGCGGACCTTTTGGTTGCGTTATAAGGTAGCCCATTCACGATTCTAACTTAAGCCATTGTTGCATACACTTATTGTTTACTTCACCAACCAAATCGGCACGGGTCCCTAAAATTCTTGTTGATTCTCTGTTCCCTAGGTTATTTTATTTTTTGGCATTTAATTAATTTCTTATTTTGTGGTTTTAATAAGTTAAAGATTATTTGAAATCATGCCTCAAAATAAGGTGCTATTGAAAATTATGAGGAATATATAATAATTTAACTATAAACCGTTTTTTCGTATTTGAACGTTGACCAGAACTTAGTAATGTTGGTTTAGCCAACAGAGATAGAGTATGATGGATTTAATGTTTTATCCCATACGTCGCGTATTGTATAATTGTATGCAATATGTTAGTAGTACTTCGGCAGTGCAAGATTTTTTATTGATTTTTCTTTAATGCAATGATATTAACATATGAGATGACTTATCTTACTCACCGTACTGAAACTGTCATCGCGCGGAAGCGTAAATGATATAGTCAACTTCAATAAAAAATAAGAGAAACACAAAACTGCGAATGTAAATCGAATTACTAAATTGTTTCATTTAATATAGTGATTTAATTTTTCGTAACAGATTAATTTATCACTTGATGATGATTATCGTACCAGAGAATATTCGCAATTCAAAGAAAAGATATTTATTTAAAATGAAATTAAAATAATAAGGAAATGTTGCAATTTTTTACGCGAAGCTAAAATCCCTTTACCATGTACGAAACAGTAAACTCTTGCATTCGCCACCCTAGAATCCATCTTCCTTTTCTGCAATATCTCTCATCTGTGCAGCTTCACTGAGCTCCCATCCTACCCAAATATTACCATGGCAACCGGTCAAAACAAAATCTCTTTGTAGAAGTTTACCAGTGGCCATTGACCTATCGCGTCGCTAAGATCACGCGCTTATTGAAAAGATAGGACCAAGAGTACCAAGAAATTCATAGCTCAAGTTATAATGGAGTTCTGTCGCTAATCCCGAGTATTAAAAACGGCATTACGGTTACACAAATTCATACCTAAATCGTACGGAATAGAGTGCTTTTCAGGTGAATGTTGGTTGATTGGGGTTTGCCAAATAAGCCAATCTTTCGAGAGTTTAAATGCAGCCGAGGAGCTATCGTTTATTGACAAGGAAGAAAAATGGGGACGCCGACAAATCATGTCTATTTATTTTACATATGACGATTGTGTTCATCTTTGACGATTTAAACTATTTAAATTCAAATATAACAAATATGTAGCATGTAAAATATACTAACAAATATATTTTTCACGTAAAAAAAAATTAATGTTAATACTTTTTATTACTACAGGATTTAAAAATTATTTTATGAAACTATTTTATTACAAATTTATCGCGCTTTATCTTCTTATCCATCCGTCTGGTGTATGTTGTATCTTGTATCTTGTATTAACTGATGTTTGTGCTTTCAGTCCCGAGACTATTAAAGCTTCATCTGACGCAGAACCGGTGGGCTAGCCAGAACCCACGGGTTTGGGCTCGGTGTATGTTGCAAACTTTGCAATGCAAAGTATTAAAAGCGTCGGAAAATGAACTTTAGAACAAACGCAATGAATCCGTAAAAATATCTGTATTAAAATTTTATTTTGTTCAATTTCCCTTTTTTCCATATAATACCACATGGACTTACTGTGACCAACAATGGTGAATGAACATGTTTTTTCATTTACGCTAACAATGTCATTGAATTACAATTTAACTATGGCTCGGCCATGCAGCAGACTTTGCTGTTGCACGAATTGGCAGGCTCAAAAGAAAAAAGAAGAAGTATTACACTTCGTGACGTTTGATTAGTGATATATCCGTGGATATATATGCCTATTACAATGTCGAGGCATTGAGGACAAGGAAATGACACTCTCTTAAATATTGTGTTTTGTATACTTAAATAATTTATAAAAAATATATAATATGACCGTAGAGTTTCTTGCCGGTTCTTCTCTTGCAGGTCTAGTTTAGTGAACCGGCGGTAGTTTTTGACGTTCAATAAGAGCTTAAGATAAGCCTATCTTTAATAAAGATGGCTGACAGCGGTTACACTTAGCATCAAGTGAACCGTCGGCTCGCTTACCATTTACTCAAATAAAAAAAATACAACCTCTCCGATGACATAAATGACAATTTATCAGCAAGCAGGAGCTTTATAGTTTTACCTTTTATTGCTTATCGTGTTTTTTTTTCTTTATTACTTCCATTTCCACAAATGATATTTGCACATGTGCGTATCGAACGTTGTAAATGATCATGCGTGTATCACATAGGCTTTGCTTTGATTTTTTTAATCGTCGTTTTGAATGGACGGGTGGGTTCGTACGACTTTAAAATTCGAGGTACAATATGCCTTGTCGTGAGATGGCTTAGTCCGTGTGAGGGAGTTGGAGAAAATCAATTCTCCTTACAAATACATAAGTGCCCGTGTTGGGGTGCAGCCCTATTCCAAAGGCAGGGGCTTGTAAATGCAGCAATGTCGGTAGCTTGTTTCCATTACACCGCTCTATTTATGTCAGTCTGCACCTAAAGAAATAGACTTTAATAATATAATTCTTTTATTTTATTTTTTACGATGATAAGATATAATTTTTAAGGTACGTTATTGAATAAATAAATCAATCGATAAAACATCATTTCAACAATAGCACGTCTTTTTATTATTATGTGCTTAAAGTATTTAAGGTTTAATTTCAAAGTCAATGTACTACATACATAATAATTATCAACTATTTCATATACTTTTTTCACCCAATGATTATATCTCAGATAAAATTTTTGATTATGAGGTGTTGTTTCTGACCCATAATTGAACCTTTTACGTAATCGTGACGTGACGTATGTTAATGGAAAATAACTCCCTAAAATGACCCAGTTTTGGGATTCATCAATGAATAAAACTACTTCTCCGCACGTAAACACACAATGAAAACAATCACCCATAAAAGCTACTGTTCTCTTTTACTGCCGGTAAAACAAATTGGGTTGTTTACATCAGCTTCGTGATCAGTTTGGTATGCAAGATTGTACACAAACTACAGAAGCTATACAACAACGAATAGTTTCCTATATCAGTTTTACACCTAAAACACAGTGAACATATTTGTTGATATTGAATATGTATACATCATATTTTACCTGAAAATTTATAAGCATAAATTAATTTCTTGACTTTATGCAAATACTTAACTATGTTAAATGAAATTTTACGGTTTTATTTTAAGTTTAATTTTGATTTTAAATTCCGATGCTACCGAAGTTTAAATTACTTGTGCATTATTTGTGAATTTAGACCAATAAAGATTATTATTAAGATCTCTACAGTGTTCATAATCACGGCACCCCTGAGATGCTTTTTCATCCAAAATGTCATGGTTAGTCCCGAATATCCTTCTATTTTAAACACCACTATAGTTTAATAACACAATATTAAAACATATTTTTATCAAACAATTCTCATTGTAAATACATTGAAGTTGACTTATATTGACTTTACAATGGAACTAATCAGTGTTCTGCTCTGAACTTAATAAGGTTTCTCACCCGAGAGCTGCGCATACATTTCCATCAATATTTCCAGCAAAATTGGGTTGCCTCAAGAGCGGACCTCGAGAGTTGACAGTGGACCACTTCTAAAGCTCTTGCGTTGAGAACTAGACGCTTTCGAACAGAGGCCAAGCCAAAAATGTCAAAAAGTTTTGCATTTTATTGTGTTCGCTGCATTTTTAGTTTTAAGAAACCTACCAACGAAAAACCTTTTAATTTCAGACCCAAGATTCAAGAGTTAGGTCAACTCCTGAATCTTTGAATTGAAATCGTCTTATATACAACAATCTGGTCGTACTTCCCAACTGTCCAAAAAGTTTGACAAACATCATTGAGTCAAAATCAATGAAATCAAACTCGCTGTACCTATCTTAAATACATTAATCTATTTATCATTAATGGAAAAATAAGTAATATTTTATATACGGCGTATAAGCTTCCATGCACAAAGAAATATAATACACTACTGTATACTTGTAATGTACTAAATATATTTAATAATTACAAAAAGAACTAGATGACATATGAATAAACCGAACGCTCAAACCACCTGTTTAATTATAAAGGTTCGTGTCAAATACCAATGATGTTATAAAACTAAATACCGAGCAAATAAAAAGAGGGTTAGTTAAAATAACTTATAACAATTGGTGATTACCATTAACACGTGTTGATCACTAGATATACGGGCAATTAATCATCAACCGTGGAATAACCCCTGGGAGGTGTTTCTCCATCAGCGTTCTGCAGTTACTATGATTGACGACGTGTACAATTTATAGGCCACATTGGTTCCAACTAACAGCAGGTAATAGTTGTGTTGTTTTTTGTTGGCAAACAAATTACTGGGTGTGAACTTTAAAGAGGAAGAATGATGCCGGTCGTTGAACCCTTTAAGATATGGTTGAAAAAGAAATTGTAGATTATTGTAATTATTCCATAGAGCTCTGTAATCAGTTTTAATTAAAATTATATATAGGCTTTTACGAAACGAAATTTCTGTATCGTTCGGCTATATGACAAATCTAATTATATAAGTGATTCCGCTGTCCAGAATACTTTCTTGTCTAAATGGGATGCAGTAAAATATATGTTAAGTTCAACATTTGACTTGACCTTTGACCATTACTTTTATTTGATACTATTTGGTATTTTATTTTAATTGGTCG